CATCCCAATTTCTCCAACCCATTTATCTGTGTTGTTCACCTGCTGTATCCTATCTGACACAAAAATCACAAGGTCTCTGGGGCAGGGATTTTTTTTGTTAAAGATTGTATAGGGCCTTGCACAATGAGGTCTAGACCCATAATTGGGGTCCTTAAATAAAAACAATAAAAATAAAACATTGAAAGAACTGCTTCATCCTTTGAAAGTTTCAGAAATCATAACTATCACCACATAGGTTTTATACTTAAACAATTTGGGTTAATTTAGCAATTAGTTTATTTCTGGCTATTTTGAGAAAGTTTAAACTATGAAACGTATACTATCTTATAACTCTGAAATGTACTGATTTGCAATACTTTCTAACTGAAGTTAGAAGCAAAGTCTTTTTTCACATCTCTGATGCTAGCCTTCTAAAAGTCAACAATATCCAGCCGCATCTGGACACACACTTATTACCTATTCTAAGATTATCAGTGTGTGGTAAATGTTGACTTTTTAATGGTAACTATTGTACTTTACATCATGATCTGTTTCAAGATGTTGTTTCCTGTTAAATATAATTCACAATAATCAAATATCAAAGGGTGTTAAAATTTTGGGTTAGTGATTAAGAACACAATCTTGCACCTTGAAGTCAATGGGAGTTTTGTCACTAATTTTGAGGAGAGCGGGATAGTGTTTTATTTTCTTTGTAATTAGACAAAGTGATTGTCTTTTAGATTATATTGGAGGTCAGATGATAGTACACAAGTGCAACTAAAAATATTAGCCACCCACAAGCGGTACCGGCTGAAAGGCTTTGGGAGACAAGCAAGATAAACAAACCAATCCACCTTTCTCGCTTTACTTTGTAACTAAAACAACTTCAACTTGTACACTGGAGGATATGTATAATGTAAACAACAACAACAAAAAATTGCATTTCTCTAGCACCTTACATCTGAGGTTCTCCAAGTTCTTTGCAAACATGAATTAGCCTCACCTACCTCAGAGATGTATGGTCGCTGTGATTTATACTCATTTTTAGATTAGTTCTAATGGAGGCACAGGGTCAGTGATAGAGCCAGGAACAGAAACCCAGGAGAGTACTGACACTCAGTCCCACTTCTAACCACTAGGCAATGCCTCCTTCAATTAGATTAAGTAGAATGAAAAACGAGTAATTTAGTCCATCTATATTCAGAATAATAACTGATAAAGATTTCTTGTGAGGGTTTTTCAGAATTAGACAACATATATCCCTAACCAGCACATGGGAACATTAATTGGGAGAGAGATAACCAAACCATTTTAAAAGCTAATTTATATACATAATCTCAAGAGCTGGCATTATTGAAAGAAAGTGTGTTAGGAGACTCAGCAAGAAACTACTCAGCTTTCTTGTTGAGCTCTGCGGGAAAGTTTTAGGAACTATTTTAAGGTAACAATGAGGTCTTTGGGGACTATCAGGAACATGGAGTATTGTGGTGCAAGGCAAGAAAAAAAATCCAAGGAAAGCTTTCACTAGCCTCCTATCATTCTTTTGAGATCATAATTCCTATTTTGTATAAAGGGATTGAGATTAATTTCCCAGAAAGTCTGTGACAAAGGTTCCAGGTCAGAATGCATAAAGTTTAAAAATAGGAATAAAATAGTTAAAAGTTAACTAACATTCATAATTATTACTCATTAAATTATTCATCACTTTTGAAATCCAGACACATGGTTCAAGTTTAACTCACACTGCTTCTCTCCTTATTGTAGGGTTGGTTTGGTTTAGTTTCTACCGCATGTGCCATTCTGGTTGCGTAATCAAGAGTGATTTTTACTTGACTGGAATATCAGCATGGAAACTGTAATTAGCATTCCATAAAACAAACAAACAAACAAACAATGTTCAGCTGAAACAACATAAGCAAGACATTGGGTCTAATTCAGCAGTTAGTGCAGTGAGGCTTATATTACAACAGAAGAAGCACCTTGCCAGCAAAGATCCTTGCTCCCAGGGGAGAGTCACTCCTATGGGAACGAGGCAGTGTGGGGTGTGGGAGGGCAGCTTTAATTCCCATCACAATTCCATGGACACTCTTACAGTGGGAGAGTCTCCAGCAGTGCTGCAAGTAAGCTGGTACAGTCAGGTAGGCCGTACCATTAAGACACATTTTCAAGACTGAATTGTATAGCCCTGTGCGGATACAAATTTATCCATGGATGCGGATATCCGTGGAAAGAAATTGGTATCTGCTGAACTGTAGGGCTTTTCTGAGAACTGTAGCAGTGAAAGGAGCAGAATGTGGGGCTGCCACTCCCAGGAGTCAGCACCTCAGGCCAGCAGCTCCTCTGGCGCAGCTGTATCACCCCCAGCCCTTCTACGCAGCTGTGTCTCCTGTCTGTACAGCCCCGCCAGAGGACAGGGCTGGGGATGGTACAGCTGCGCCAGAGGAGCTGCCGGTGCAGGGCACCGGCTCCTTGCCTCAGTGGCTACTGCCAGTCATCAGCTAGCCCACTTTCCCTGGGGCAAACTGCAGTCTGTGATGGCCACTCATCATTGGCAAGGGGGTTGCACCAGCTGCCTCTGCAGCCCCAGTGCCTCCTTAGGCCTTTAACAAGGCCTCAGCCTGGGGAGTTGCCAGGCTGGAGCTCCCCAGTTCCTCTTTCCCTTCTCCAGCACTGCTCTGCTTCAGGCACCCTGTGCTCCTAGGCAGCTAGGTCCTAGCCAGCCAACCTCCCTCAGCTGCTCTTAATCCCTTTTCTAATTGGGTCCCAGCCACAGCCCTCTCAAAGGGCTGCTTTTAACCCCTGCTCTTCTGGAGTGGGGCAGCTGCCCCACTACAAGGGGGGGGTCAGGGTCGGGGGGTCGGTACTGTACCGGTAAGAGTTAAAATCTGCTTGCACCACTAGTCTCCAGACAGGTATGGAATCAGAGGACTCCTAGGCACATGGACTATGCCCCATTTTGGGCAGCAACACCAATTGTTGATGCTCTGTTGCACTGAATTTTTGTCATGTCCCCAAAAATGAGGTTGTAGTCACTTTGCCCCACTGTAACCCAGCCTCCTGGCTGAAGTTCCACCACCAGGAAACTCTGACCTTTTGTATAAGGCAGCACAGATCTTCAGTTAAATTTTGCCAGCTTATCCTTTAGCTGAACCAACTTCTTGAATCTCAACACTGTCAAACAATGAGGAAGTTTTGATCCAGTTCTAACACTACAATTCAGAACTATCTTTAGAATAAATTAGTACATAAGTACTTAGAAGAGAGTAACAGAATGAACGGGAAGCACCACAGATTCGTAAAGAACAAGTCAAGCCAGACAAACCTGATAGCACCCAGAAATTGAGCAAAATTACAGGTTTAGTGGACAAATGAAAACAATAGATTTAATTTAACTGTAACATTTCATGTTCGTGGGTAGGCAAAGATGTCCCCAGGAAACTTTCACAGATTTGCATAGGCACAGGAAGTTCAAATGGTTTCCCTGAGCCTCTACTTAGTTATTTCATAAATAAATTAAATTTAAATATATATGTCTTTTAATGAGACTTTTAGTACATTATTGCTGAAAAATTAATACTAACTTTGGAAATATGGTGACTGATTAGGATTACTGTAGTGAAAATACTAAATTGCCAGCCACACTGAAAACAGAGCGTAGTTACTGTACTTAAACTTAAATATCAAACTGGAAAGAGGTGGCAAGTGGCATACTCCAAAATTTTACATTGTGACTGAATAATTTTATATCTTCCTGAATAATTTGGAAAACAAAGTAAATTGTACATTGATTGAATGTACAGGAGACACAGGATTAAATTAAGCTTCAACACAGCAGGTGGGTAGGTTGAAAATAAAGAAATATCTGGAAAGCTGAGAGAGATGGGCGTATTTAAGTGGGATGAGATTTTAATATAGATAAATGCAGAATAATAAGCTTGGGAAAAATTCACACCCAGCTCAAGCAACCAAATGGGAAAATGCCAATTTTCATTAAAAAAAAGTTTCCAATAGATTTCACAGTTTATTCACACTGTGAGAATCCACACTGGGTATACGCATCAGGTCTGACAACTTGTTTGCTACATTCCAGCCTGATGTGGTTTCAAAAGGATGAAAACATATTCCCTGAAAACCTACCTTTTAAATAGAATATTAATTTCCTTTAAATATGCATACAGTGTTCATGAAATATAACAGATTTACAACTTCAGTAACAGAAGAGCAAATTTCATTTTACTTATCCACCAATGAGACAGAGGGACCCCCTGTAGAGTTCAGCCTGCAACCCAATGGAGAATTTCTTCTTTAGATGAAGTGGTAAGGCCCAGTCCTTTGGAAGCCACTGGACCAGAGTTTTCTCCTTTTTATCACAAAAAAGTTCCAAGTGGCCTCAGAAGGTACAGCAGAGGGAAAACTGAAGTACTGGTTAGCCACTGATGGGTTACTATAAAAGCCAACATTATTCCAGAACCTAAACTGCATCTTGATGAAGGGTATTAATATATAAAAGAAAATAACATTCTGAGGATGTTATAACATAAATAACATTATGAGCAACTCATAGTAAACTAAGAGAGAGAGAAAAAGAAATAATATATTTTCTCTTCACTGAATGACAATATATCTAAAATAGTGAGGTTTCAATATCAAAGGAAAAACTCAAAAGACATATTTGCAATGCACTCAAATTAAACTGTAATAATGTAAACTTGTTAAATTGTATATTCTTTCCACATACCAAGTTAAAGCTATATGGAATATTTAAATGGCTTGCTCTTGAATGAGTGTCTAAAGGATACATTATCTTATCTTTGTCTCATTGATTTAATGATCCACATACTCTTATAGTCAGATATTTTGCCAAAGGAAAGATGAGCTACAAAAAAATAAAAAAGTTTATAAAACTGAATATTACTCTTTTATTCACACACTAATCCAAATATGACTGAAGGGCATGAAATGGCTGGTGTGGTAGTAATCAATGCTATAATTTTATTTATTTATGTTAAAGAGCTGCTTACCAAGGAGATCCATATATTCTGAACCCCCTCACCGTCACTTCAGAATCTTGAAGATAGATGCAATTTGTTAGAAGAGACTGCACATTTTCATAGCTCTCTGGTTTCAACTTAGACACAGAGGGAAAATAGTAAAAGTCCTGCTTGATTAAGTCTGCCATGAACTCTTGGTCAAAGGTCAATTCATGATTTCCTGCTATCACAATCTTGTATTCATATGGCAGGCTACCTAAAATAGTGAAAAACAACAACAAACCTCAGTTATATTTCAGTTTCTGAAAACTGAATAAAAGAAACAAACACACACAAAACAGTACCACACAACATTCTTACACATCTGAAACAACCAAATTCTGCCCTGAGATGTGTGAACATAACTACCATTGACTTCAATGGTAGTGACATGCACCTTTCCAATAGCAGAATTTGACTCTTAATATTCATGGAAGTAGTGTGATGACTCTGCCTTAACTATTTAATATTTTTTTAAAATTATGCATACCTATGCACGGTATTTACTTACCATTGGTTACAGCTTCCACTTGTCATGATCACAATAAAACTCTCAGACAAGTGTGTGGGTATAAAAGCCACTGATCATAATCCTTATTAAAAAAACACCACCTCTAAATTTCCTGCAACCTGCTAATTCTTAAATATCATTTCATGGTAAAGAGGCCTTACATGTCCAAAGCTTCTGCCAGACTAATAGACCTCCTTTGCCACAATCCAGAAGCCAAACCTTCAACCAAGATAGGGCTCAGGCTTACCTATTGGGATCCTTTGTATCTGTGTCTGATTTGCCTTCCCCCATAGCTTTTAGCCCTACCCATTTTCAAACCTCTGTCCAAGTTTTGGGAAAGGGGTTAAAACAACCACAGGGGGGACACTTGCCCTCAAAGCTGCAACAATAAAATTGCAAAAAGCTAAGATCAATGTAACGTAGAAAACTTCTGCCTACTAGGAAAATTTTGTGAGTGCTTGCAAATGAAGAATGCTAACAAGATATCAGTCAAAGCAGTGAACTCCTCATACACAGTGAAGAGTGTTCAATATTATCCTCTGCAACTAGCTCTGAGTGCTGATCCTTACAGCATATACCACAGGACAGCAAGAACCCCTAATTCCTCTGCCCACAAACTCTCTCTCACACAAACACTCCTGAGCAGCCGCACTACAACAGAAAAATTCCTACCTGACTCCAAGTGATTATCAGCTGGACCCTGTACTTGAAAGCAAGGACCACCTCAGGGACCCTAACACAAACCTTTGGAATGTGTCTACAGAGGACAGAGAGGAGACTAAAAGATACATAAGGAAGAGGAAAACACTGAATAAGGCTGCTTCCAGCCAGAATATGGGCAGGACCTAACATTGCTTTTCTACTAGTGAAGGTAGTTTGCGGGGGGGAGAATGGGGGGGGATGACTTCACTGCAAATGCATGGTAGTTAACTAAATCCACAGAAACCTAGTGGTTTTTAATCCCCAAAAAAATCTGACAAGGTAACATTATTTAAAACTTCACTGATAACTCTGAGCCCAGTTCAGACCAAGAGTAACGGGTGATACAAATCACCACGTCTAAATAAAGTGGCATAAAAGTTGGCATGGGTAGGACTGAGGAATAAAATGCATCCACATGGAATTTATTTCAGAGTAGCAGCCATGTTAGTCTGTATTCGCAAAAAGAAAAGGAGTACTTGTGGCACCTTAGAGACTAACAAATTTATTTGAGCATAAGCTTTCGTGAGCTACATGCTCAAATAAATCTGTTAGTCTCTAAGGTGCCACAAGTACTCCTTCTCTTTATGGGACTTATTATTGTCTATGTCTCTTTGAAGGTTGTGATAAGCTGTATCCAAACTGTTTAATGGATAAATTATCCTGTGCTAATTGCCAGGATGTTTGGAAGAAGGAAAGTCAAGCCTACTGTATTCTAAGGCCAAAAGTCTGCTGGAAATGTATAAAAACCTTGGGACACGATCCTTCTTCATCTCAAATCTACTTTGGGTTTCAAGAGGGGGAAACCTTAAGCCATAAGGATTGAGATCCCCAGTCACTGACTGGAGTCACCCTGAATATGGACATTAAACTGTCACCTATGGACTATTTCTAAAAGGACTTTTGGCAACTACAAGCTCATCTCTGCTATGTATCTGAACCTCAAGAATTGAGCTCAAGTCTGTATGTACATTGATCTTTTAACCAACACACTCTCTCTTTTCTTTTTTCATAAATTTTAGTTTAGTCAATAAGAATTGACTATAAGCATGTATTTGGGGTAAGATCTAAGTTATTATTTGACCTGGGTCTGGGGCTTGGTCCTTTGGGGTCAGGAGAATCTTTTCTTTTATATAATGAAATAAGATTTTCAGAATTTATCATCATATGTTTGACCTGTGTGTCTGGATGGAGGCCTGAGGCTGGGTACTTTAAGGGAACTGCATTATTTGGACTTCTGAGTAACCAGGGAGGTGCTATAGAAGCTGTTTTGTTCTGGCTTGGTAAATCTAAGTATTGGAATATCCACCAGCGTTTGGGATTTGTTTGCCCTGTTCTGTTTGCAGTTCACCCTGATGGAGTGACCTCAGCTGGCTCCCACAGGCAGCACCATCACACCAGCAATATAAGGATGCTAGCAAAACACAGAAGAGGCGCTAGAAAATAATGCAACACTGAGTGCTCTGTAAGCACAAATGCACACATGAGTACCCTGCAGAACATATCCCATATGCTTGCCCTATCTACACAGGCACTGAAGTGGGGTGGATGCACTGGGTGAAATAAGCACTTATAGCCACAAGTCGACTCCTGAACACAAAGCGTCACCTCAGAGATTAGGGATAGAAAGATTCTTCCCCTCCAGGTCATGGACTGACAGTGAAGCTGCTCCGTGGCTGCAATACCAGCCTCTGAGCTATATCAGCAGGGAGGGAGAGGGAGATGACCAGAAACAGTGCACTACCTGATGACCAATGGCAGATCCATCATCCCCTCACCTATGAGATGATACATTCTTACTTCATAGTGATATGCTGGGTGTCCCACAGAGCTATGGCATGTACACCTTATGTGCCGACTCTTCAAGCCTGAACAGCAGAGCTGTACCAGTTCTGCAGCATAGCCTTCCATAAACACGGTACTGGGAGCAGGATTTGCTCCTTAGTGCAGGAAATAGCAGTGAAAACATACGGAGGAGGCTCACCATGTTCAAACACCCATAGCCAACACAGCTACACATCATACTGATGGCATGCTCCTATTGAACTTCTGCTCTGAGTCAATAGCCCATTACCAATAGGATTTTTATTTTATTTTTTTAAGAAAAATCAGCATTTACACTTAGTATCACCTGTTTCTTTGGGCAAATTTAAAAATAGGATATCAGGATGTTGAGTTTCGGTACATTTTGGAATGCTGAGCTAACATTAAGAATAAGTTTTGTACTCTGTTTTTATGTTAATATTATACCAATATTCAATTCTTTCCTGTGGACCATAAATGCAATTCCCCAATGGCAGATTCCTTAGCAGAAACAGTTTTCTGATTTATGATTTTCTGGTACATTTAGATGATGAATGCTGGAGAGTCAATTAGTTATTTTAAGCATTTTTTGAAATTAAAATATTTTTATTTCCAAATCTGAAGCGCTTAACATTCTGCAGAATGTCTAACACATGTCCATATATCACATTCACACACAGGCTGAAAATGTAACATAAGTATTACAGTATGTCTAGGCATTCACAAGTATGATACAGCAATACCATTGCCTTTGACAAATATCGAAGAAAATTGCATGCCATAGTTTTGTTAACAATTCCATTTCTATTCTATTTTCTAACTCTTTTCCAGCTCATCTGATCCATCCATCTACTAGCCAAGAATCTGTATGAGCTGGTTATAGTTGTTGCTTCCGCTAATGTATTTATGTCATGTTGCTGTCTGTGGGTGTTACTTAGGCAAATTAGCAAATTACTCTAAACGTACAGTTACATTTATTATAGTGGCGGCCAGAAGCTCTGCTGTAGTTACAGGTCTGTCAGCTTTTCAATTAACAGCTCTGTTTTTGATGAGTTTGCAGCTCAGCGTTCTTTCTTTCTTTCATTCCATACCAAGCTGGAACTTGCTAAATCTATTTCCCCTGCTTATCTCCACCTCACTGCCCCGGCACCCTTCAAACCCTCTTTTCACTTAAATTAAGAGGGCCATTGTTTAGAAAACAGCAAAAAAGCTGATTTTTGGCAGTTTTTTTTCCCACATTTTTGTTACCTTCTAACAAAATCTTTAAATCCTGATCCTGCAAAGACTTATGAACATGCTTAACTTGTCATACTGACTACTCACAGGGTGTAAATTTAAGTGCATGCATAAGTCTTTGAAAAAATCAGGGTCTTAATTTGTATCTGATTGATTAGGGTTGAATCCATAGGCATGTGGATATAATCTGCGACAAACAGAAGCACTGGACCATTCTCAGGGCTGCAGAATATGGTACTTTATTACTGTGGTTCCTTTCTGCCTTGATCTTATCATGCTCACTACACAACAGTGCTCAGTTTACTGCAGATACAGAGATTTTCTCACAGCCCTATGCTATTTTCAGAGCACTGTACGAATTTCTCTGCCCTGTGGGTCTGATGCTCCTATCTTCGAAGTCAATGGCAAAATGCCCATTGATTTTAGTAGGAACAGAATCAGGCAACATGAGCTCAACCCTGTGACGTACTGAGTGCCTCTTGAATGCCTTATACTGCAAGTCTGAGCTCTTGGCAAACATCAAAGATCACTCATGTGCAATATATTTATACATTAACCATTACATTAAATCGGCAACTTTCTTGCCTACATATGTTTAGTACTTAGATTATCCTGAAGCAAGCCCCTAAAATCTTTGGATGGATTTTTTGTTACATGGTTATTTTCCTGGACTGTTGTTATTTTTATGTAGTTATATATTATATATGAGGGTTATCTGAAAAACAACAAAGAAAGAATTTTTAAAAACCTGAAATGCTGATAATCAGAATAATTCTTACTGAAAGTTATGAATACTATTTCTCATTTGACCAACAGATCATTTGGAAATTAATCTTTATCTTAAATATATTGACAATTCTGCATGGAATTTTCTGAAATTTTAAAAGCTTTGATGAATCATAGCAACGTAGGGGTGGAAGGGATTTCAAGAGGTCCTCCAGTCTATCCCCCCACGATGCGGCAGAACC